CACTAGATCGGACATTGTCTTGTCAGTTGGCTAGGGCCGTTTCAGCTATCGTGGTAACCTATTCTTATCCGGACCTGCGCGCCTCAGTTGTGAATCTGATTGAAGGTTTTAATCATGTCCTCATCTTGTCAGGATTCGGGCCATTCCTTTTTTGGAGAATTTTAAAAATCTATAGAAAAAACAGGACTTAACTAATTCGAGGACAGCTCATTTTCAAACACAAAACAATCGGTAACGTGCCTTCACTCTAAAACAATTCATGGTAATTTTGGCATCCGTTTTATTGCAAATAGGTACATTTTTAATATATCAGATGCTACGAATATAAAAAAACATATACCTTACATCCAAACATTTGATTAGGTAGTTTATAGAAATAAAAAGCAGCTGACATCCTGAATATGAGGATCGAATGCAGGAAATTGACTTCAAACTATGTGTATGGGGAGTAAGAGAGTCAGCAGAAAGAACTATTGAACGAGAGGCACTAACAACCTCGTATCTTGTTATTACTCTTAGACCGCATGTGGATTGAAAATTGCATACATACAATGCACACCACCATATATTCTAAACATATGTTAACATTAGAGTGTCGTACGCTGGGTTATTTATGTAAAGAAACAGCTGTTACTATATATACTTTTTTCCTGAATCAACTCCATCCACCTGCAAACATGTGTTATGCTGACGTAATCAACCAGAACATGGAGTTCCTCATTAGGATCGCAAACTTAGGTATAAGTGAGTCATTTTGAAGCCGGCCACCCTTACTCTTTATTATATATATATTGGTGCAGCTCTTCGTAAGGCATGCTCTCTCTCCCCGATGATGTCTTTCAAATGTCAGATGAAAGCTCAACTGGGTTCGTAAGCCGGTGAGCCGATGACTTCTTCACACAATTCAACAGTCTATTCTCAGGCAACCCTCAGGTTTCCAGTGGGGCCAATTCAATACAATTACAACCGCTCTTTCCATTGAAATAAAAAGTCAATTCATAATATATTTTCGAGGGCTCCTGAAACCCAGCTTTTCTACATATTTGATAAGCTTTCCTCTATCGTACGACGACCATCATTAGAGCAAGCTTTCATTTCTCTGGCTTATGCCTACCTGTTGTTTGCATGTCATAATCCTATGTGTTTTGATGAGGTAATGAGTGACTTGGCTAGTTCTTGTCATGTGTCGACCTAGACGCATGCATGTGCGCATGTTTTAATGTGCATATATGCATTCATGGACGCATAGATACGAATCCAACAGCGATAGCTCAAAGTACTTATAGCAGAGCCCCTACTTCAAAGCCTTTTGAAAATTTGACTTTTAATCTGGCTTGTCAGATCATAGTAGGACCTTAGCACAGAGTTGCAACTTATTAAAGTGACTTGTCATTTTGACTAAGATTCAGGTAAAACGTCTGGGGATGTACCAAGATAACGGTCTGATACTTTAAATTATCATGAATACTCTAGCTAATGACGCGGGACCTGGTACGTTCCACAGGATCTCCTTGTCGCTCCGACCCATTTGCTAAAACGAGGTCATACCATATCTTTACAGATAAAGGAGACGGCGACCGAACCTAAGGCCACAACGTCTCGGTATTCCTATCTAATATCTGATTTTGTATTAGATATGTAAGAGCAAAAATAGATCAACCGATAAGACTCGTGATTTCTTTGGCTAGCTTGCCACTATGAGTCTCCTTTGGAAAAAAATATTTTCGTTTGTCCTTATTATATTCCATATTCTTAGTATAACAGGAAACATTTTGAAAATTTCTTTCAAGCTTTTCTGTCTTTGATTCTTATTTTTCAGGGAAACTCGCATACCAGTGCCCCACCGCTCTATCGACCAAGAAACAAAGAGCCAAGACGATCTCTTTAAGTTGTTATCAGAACGTCGGCTTAAGCAAATGGCCACCACTGCAACTTCATCGGTGACATCCACCGCATCCACTGCTTCCTCTTCGGCCACCCAATCCACGAAAGAGAGTGATGCCTCTTTAGATAAACTACCTGGGTTTGGTCACACTTGTCTTCAGATCACCTGCCGCGCAGACGGTCAAATTCATTTCGGCGAAGCTGATCCTGGCACACAGATGCTTCGCATATACAACGCTTCAGATCAAGTGAGTTTTTATTCTTTTCAGCATCCAGCTTATTTTTGAAATTTGCCGGTTATCGTTTCTTCCCTAAGTATGGATAGACAATGGCTATTCTCAAGATTTTTAATTTTTTAGGGGGATTAGTTTTACTAAAACTAGTACATTTCAGAGTTCGATAAATGCTTTTGACTATCCTTAGGAAATCGCTGTTGTTATTACCACTGCTTCGCTACCATTACGTTCACATTTATCTCCAAGACAACCAATATGAATCCCTTATTTTAATTTATAATCACGATCATAAGTCGCGCAGGCACTGAAATATTGCTACTCTGATTTCATTTTTATGTTCATGACAGTCCTTTGATATTACTTTTTTAACAATTGGCTTTGTTCTTAAGCTAAATAGAATTTCACTTTAGGATTGATAGAAACTTCTTATCGTGTTTCTGTCTTCTAACGTTGAGTAAATTTCTTCATACCTTTTTATCTTTTCATTATGAAATCTCCACTCTTATAGTAGTGTGGATCATCCAAACATCATTCTTTATTTGGCCCTCATTGCTTTGATTCGATCCTCTCTATCCCATTTTTCATTTAATTTGAAATGACAAGAATGGTTGTCTTTGGACTTGATTTTTCCGATACGACCCTGGCATCTTGCATTGATGGGATTCATATCATCAGGTAATCGCGAGCCACCAGTCTTCTGACTATAGACATCGAAAGTTGGTTTGTGTGATTATTGGATTTACCATTTTAGGTTTGGTCGCTAGCTCGAATATTTGGGATTGCCTCAGAATAGTTTCAAATCATATTCATTGATTGCCTTTTTTACTTATTCCATGGCTTATTTACCTGCATAGACACACTAAATCGGATTTGCTAGCGTACCAAACTTTCGAGTAACCCTTTTAATCGTGTTTTTAATACATAAGTCAAGCTATCCAAATTACACATATGTTAATTACAGCAAAACCTTTAACAATTATCTCTTGTTCATCTTAAAACTCAGTTTCTTTTTTACAGACTGCATTC